ATATATATATATATAGTTGCTTTTTTTGGTCAGAAACTTATCTGGTCAGAAATCTCTTCCTTGTTTATCACTCCTCTCTCTCTTCTCTCTCCTCCTCTGACACTAGCAGCAGCTCCAGGCAGGAGCAGAAGTGTTTTAAAAAGCTGTAAAACGGCTTCATCATGCAGCATTACCTGAATGAAACTATCAGCAGTTCAGAGGTTAGGGTTATCTTGTTATGCTAAGCTACAGTTTCGTGTTCAGGACTGACAAAGTCATGGAGGAGAAATGCAGACACGTGACGCTTTCTATAAGCTGCTGAAAGTTACTGGAGTGGAAAGTGAGTAAAAACTTTGTAAAAACACTTGTTGTGATTATCTTTCAAGACATTTTGCCAAACTAGAGGCTGAAAAGCTCGGGAAAAGCTTCAATATTAAAAGTGARTAGCAGCAAGCAGCTCCAGCATCGCTCCACCTGCCTGTGGGAGGCAGAGTGAACAAGAGTTCAGCTGAGGCTCGGCTCATTTGCAAACTAAACAGTGATTGGTTGTTTACTGAGGAGGCGGGTCTCTGCTGCCTGCAGACAGTCTGTCCTGCACACAGCATGGAGTGGAGGAGGCAGATATGAGAGACAACTTGTCCATTTATTGGCGGGTTTGATTTAAGGGGGCAGGGCATTCGTCTGAGGGGGCACTGCCCCCTCTTGCCCCAGCGTAGAGCTGGCCTCTTTCCCTATGTTTATTAGTAAAAAATGTATTTTTTGTTGAAGTGGTGAACTGGCTGTGAAGTGCACCAGCCCCTCCTGCAGCAAAACACCCCACAACATAATGCTGTCACCCCCATGTTTCAAAGTCAGGATGGTGTTTTCAGGCTTGCCAAGCTTCCCTGTTTTTCCTTCAAATGTAACGATGGTCATTATGACCGAACAGTTCAATTTTAAATTGTTCAGACCACAGGACACGTCTCCAAAAATGAAGGTTTTTGTCCCTGTGTGCATTTGCAAACACTTATCTGTCTTTTTTCAGTTTCCTTTGAAGTAATGGTTTCTTCCTTTCAGAGTGGCCTTTCAGCTCATGTGGATACAGAACTGGTTTCATTGTGGATAATGGTACTCTTACCAGCTTCATGCAGCATCTTCACCAGCTCTTTAGCTTTTGTTCTTGGGTCGATATGCACATTTTAGACCAATACTTGTTCATCCTTGGTTCATCCAAGGACACAGAACCGGTCTCCGTCCTGAGTGGTATGATGGCTGGACTTCCCATCTTGTTTGTATTTGTGGATAATTATTTGTACAAATAAACAAGACACTTTCAGGCACCTTGAAATTGCACCTAAGGATGAAGCAGACATGTGCAGGTCCACAAATGTCTTCCTGATATGTTGGCTGATTTCTTTAGATTTTCCCATGATGTTACAGAAGGAAACAGTGTGTTTCAGGTATGCCTTAAATTACACCCACACTTGTGTCTCTAATGAACTCAGATGTTATCAATAAATCATCAGAAGCTTCCAAACACATGACATCAAATGTCCCAGATTGTTTAAAGGCATAGTTATCTCTGTGTTTTTTTAACTTTTGACCTTAAAGAAAGTAATAAAAATTGCCTTGAAAAAATCTCTCATTATTCTGGCATTTTGCAAATAGAAGATTGTTTGGTAATCCTAACTGACCTAAAACAAGAAAAGTTTATTCTGATTTCATGTCAGACAGTATGAAAAATATGTATATGTATCTTTTTATATAGGGTATGTAAACTTCTGGTTACAATTGTAAATATTCTTGGGCTGCACACATTCACAGAGAGTTGATCAGTAGAGCAGCCATGATGTCTGGAGGCAGATTAGGGATTAAATGCAGAAACATCAGTTTAATATGTCTTTGCTCCAGTAAAATAAATATGTTTAATTCAATTCAGCAACCAGTGAATAAACCAAAAACCAGCGCAAATGTGTTAAAAGTACAGTTCTGCTTCTATATGAAGAACTGAGCCCTACTCAACATTTATTAAAAACACTTCCTGTACTCTCTACAGAACTTTGGGTTGTTTTCTGTTTTCATGTGAATGAATTGGTCTCGTTTTTCTGGAGATATTTTTAGGAAATGACAAAAATAAAAGAGTTTCCATGTGGACAAGGCCTGGATCAGTTACGAAAGTCATTTAGAGTCCAGTGTGAGGCCATCTGCCTGACAGTTGAAGCTCGGACCAAACTCGGTCATACCATAAAACAATAATCCAGAAATAAATTCCAAACGCAGTTCATCATTCTAAAGTACGGTTCAAAGAAATCCTGCTGACTGTCAGACAACAACACCATGAATATTTTCTGAGCAGAGATAAAAGCAGAAGATGAGGGCGGGAAGTGCAATCGATTCTTTCTACATCAGAGATCATATTGATTTTATTTTTAGATATCCTGCTGCACAACATAACATCAGAGGCCTAACGCAATAAAAGCTCAGTTTAACTCGGTGCAGAGAACATACTGTACAGGACGTGACAGTTCCACCTTCTGGCAACAGTTTCCATTAAAGAGAAAAGTCAGGGTGGGTGACTGAGAGCCGACTGTGGAGGTAAATGTGAGAGGCACAGCTGGCTAATGTCTCTTTCTGCTTGGTCAAACACATTATTTATTTTTCATTGTGTGTCCACAGGCRGTAAATATGTTTGTAATTACCCACACTGCCATTAGGTGGGGTTAATGGCTAACCCATTAGCAGGGATGGAAGGTGGATGGATGGAGGTGTAGAAGAAAAACTACATTAGAGATGGAGACGCTGAGAGCTGTTTTCTCAAAGCAAGAAGGTTGCGGGTTAATCTCCCGGCGTTACTGAGTGGAGTTTGCATGTTCTCCCTGTGAAGCTGTAGAGTCCTATAAAATCAGGTTTATTTTCTCCCAAAGTCCATTT